GAAAAGGCTTCAGGGCCTGGAGATCCCTGGCTCATTTTCTTGTTCTGCAAGGGTGTTGGGGTGTGGGTCATCCTGTGTGGGTTTGGCTCGTTTCTCGTCCTTCCGTCGCTGTTCTTGTTCCGGGAATTTTGGGGTGTATGGGGCCCGGGGCATGTGGACTTTAAGGCTTTTGGGTCTGGGGTTCGGTCGTCGACGGCTATTATAAGGGCTGGGTGTGCTGCAGTCCCGATATACGTGTTGGCTTGAGCATTTGGATTGTTCACGGGCTCTCTGATGAATTTGTGCGGCTCATTCGGATTTTGTTCATGTGTCGGGTTGGTGGAGATCGTGGAGTATGGCTGAGTATGGAGCTGAGAGAGCACTGACATTTTCCAAGCTGCCCACGTTCGATATCGCTGTCGGACATATCTGCAAAGGATCCTGAACCGCCTAAGCCGAAGCTCCAACCCCGAACCGAAAGCACCCAAATCCTCTAAACCCCAGAAGCCCCTGAAACCCCAACAATCCACACCCTACACATTCCCCACCCATCCCTACCCTGCAGCTTCCGAGTTGCCCAGAAAATCGTAAAGCCTAAACCGCCCTATGCCCTATGGAACCCTATGAAACCCTATAAACCCTATAAACCCTATAAACCCTATAAACCCTAAACCCTATGAAACCCTATAAACCCTAAACCCTAAACCTAGGACCACCATAAAAGCCACCAGCAAAAAAAGCATCGGAAGCCCAAGCCTCGAAGCCCAGGATCGATGTTCAGAAGGTCCGCAGCCATCTGCCGATCCTCTTCGCCCCATCCTCTGCTTTCCGATAGGGCAGAGATTACTACAGGGGCTTAAATAATTACCAATAGTATTTTGGGGGTTCCTTATTATACTTATAGTATAATGGGCCCCAAAGCCCTATTCTAATTAAGGCCCCTAGATTAGGAGGGAAGTTGAGGGTCCTAGGTCCAGGGTCCTTTTTGAGATGTTCGGGCTAGGACCTGGAAGGAGGGATGTTTCTGAAAAATCATTGTTTCGGGATGATTGCGGTCCAAAATTTGCGGGTCCGTGGGACATTTTCAGGATGCTACTGTGTAAGATCTTCTATGCTGGGGCCGTCGATTTCTGAAACAATCTACATTGGAGAGAAGCCCAGTTCGGGAAGCAGCTGTACATGCGTGCGGCTTCGCACGTCTTATCCATAAACAATTCGGATTCAGACAGTTTTGTGGATTATGCCGTGCAGGGAATTCACGTAGTTTTATTGGCACTCTGTGCATTGTTCAGTAATTTGCTTGCAACAGTCGTTGGCCGAAGCCGGCCACTGATACAATTCGAGTTGGCGGTCAGCTACCTTCTTTGGAGCTCTCCGTTCTCGATACGAGCCCGATTCCTGCCACTGCAAAACAAAGGCGCGTGCGGTTCATCAGTCAGATGACCGTGTGCGAAACTTGCACAGCACTGAAGCCTTGCAGTCGGTGTGCGTGATGTGCAGCTATTCATTAGTCCCTTTCGAGTTCATGGATGTCGTAGAGTTGTTATGTGACCTTAGATCATGAACTGCAAATGCTGAAAAAATTCGTGCGACAGCAATCCAAAGACACCACGACGAAGAACTTCACCAGCAGCAGCAGCCCCGGCAGCAGCAGCAGCAGCAGCAGCAGCAGCAGTAGTTCAGCGTCGTAGACCTCCCCGAAAAAGCCACAAGCAGCCAGCCAGAAACCCTATGGTCCGAATTGTCGGAAGTTTGAACCGAAACTCGTTCCCCTTAAACCTAAGGGGGAAAAACGCAACAGCCTGTAATTACTCTCAACACTCCCTCAACCCTAGAACCTTAAAGCCCGAGCCCTGCAACCTAAATCATGATGGCCTGCGATGGCGGATTCAGCTCCTGGTGGTGTCTCGATGAGGCGCCGGGCCGGCAGCTGCCAGTGGAGAGGACGCACCTGGTTCTTGGCAGACTTCTGCAGTCGCAACTCCAGGCCCTTTAAACCCTGCGCTGGCCCTGACGAAGCCAAAACCTATAAAATCGTGATGGGTAGGTTGGAGCCCTATAGACCGGAGGACTTGGATCGTGCGACATCTCAACCCGCTGCGGGAGCAAAGAGATCGATCCTGTGACGTTGAGGCCCGATACAGGGCTTTGTCGGGGGTTTCCGATACGGAGTTTTGCGGTTTCAGTTCATGTTTGGGTGTGCGAGACTTTGTACTTCACTTGGACTTGGGCCTTCTGGTTTTGATGATGTGTCTTTGTTGGGGTGCAGAGTTTCCGGATCCTTGAACCCCCGAGGTGTTAGTGAATTTTCCTTGAGTCCGCACACCCAAATTTTGGGCATCAGTGCCCATCAGAAGTGCCAGATACTAAATGAGGGCATGCCGACCCCTTCAACTCCAAATCGCAGGTCAAGCGTAGGACCCTTAGTATTGGAACCTCGAAAGGCCGTTCCCAGCGTAGATCCCCAAGCATTAACGTCGACCAGGACGACAGCGACGACGACAGCCACAAAACCACGAGCGGACCACCGGGAGACGACCAAGACACAGCAGGAGACCATCCATGGAACACCAGGGGAGACCATCATAAAAGCAGCGAGACCACGGGCAGACCACTGCCAAAGTGCATTGCCCCTTGTACTGGTGGGATTCCATCTGTGCTAACAGCCTTCGCCCCATAACTCCTGGCGGGATTCATAGATTTCCTAAAGTGGCCAACGTGTTGGAATCTACAGTGGGATCTTGGCGTTCCGGAAGATGCGGCCGCACGGGAAATCGACCGGCGGGTGCGCCGCGCGCCTTTCACCAGCCAATTCTCTATACCCGAACCCCATCGTGTGCACGACGCTACTTGGGGAACAAACCCACCAGACCCCGCTTACCCTTCGACTAGAAACTAAGCCCTACGCACCTTAAATACCTCTAAAACCGTGAGTCGAGGTGCGACCAAGGGCTACTCCTCGGAGTAGTGTTGGAAACTTCAACGACTGGGGTCCTCCCGTCTCTTGGATCTAAACCCAGAAGCCAAGGTGCTCTACTGCAGTTTTGTCAGGATGTAGTTTAGGGAAGTCTGAGGTTGACTTCTCCAAACCCACAAGCAGTGTGTGAGCACGGTCCATGCTTGGAATCTTGAGTACAGTAGCTAGTAGATGGTGGCGTGGTGGTGACAAGTCGATGATGTAACAGTGAGGACTACATGAATGTCAAGAGGACACTACTGATGATGGTGACAGTAGTGCTGCCCACGAGTTTGGCAGTGATGGCGGTGACGATGTGGATGGATGACAGCATTCTGTCATGTTCGGTTGTGGCGGTGACGATGTTGATGGATGCCGGCATTCTGTTTTTTTTTTTCCGTTCATCGCCCCGCTCCTCTTCCTCCTCATCGTGCTCCTCCTGATCATCACCCATGTCCACTGCCATCATCATCATAATCATCATTATCATCATTACCATCATCGCCCGTTTCAGTGCTACCATCTCAGCGACGACTCACGTCCACCACAACTGCCAAGTTACGCATGCCAACGATGATGTGAGGATCTGTCGCAAGCAGCCATCGGCAAACCCATAAGTAACAGCACGGACATTGTTTTAATTTCCGTGCCATTACTGCAGCACCGGTGTGCAAGAATTGTCTGCCTCAGGATGTGTCA